GTACTCTGGGTTAATTAATAAGTAAAAAGTGATTTTATTAAATACAGACAGTAGGATTTAAGCGGTTCCAAGTAGTGACAGACAGAACAAAGTCAGTCACCAAGTAAAATCAAATAAAACACGCAAGTCTAAGCCTAACACAGCAATAAAACTGAATACAGATAAAATCTCACCCTCGGATGTTTCAATAAGCTTCTTTCACAGACTGGACACCTTCCTAGTCTGGGCACAATCCTTTCCCCTGGTCCAACCCTTGTTCCAGCTCAGGTGGTAGCTAGGGGATTTCTCCTAGCTGCTCCCTTTGTTCTCTTCCACCCATTTATATATCTTTGGCACAAGGCAGGAATCCTTTGTCCCTCTGGGTCAGAGCTGTAACAAGGAATTTTTGCGCCCAAGGCAAGGGCCAGCTCCAGGCTCTTTGGCGGCGGGTCCCTGAGTCCCTGTCAGAGAGAAGGACCCACCGCCGAATTGCCGCCCAAGAATGAATGAAGCGGCGGCGGTAATTCGGCGGCAGAACCTTCCCTCGCCCTTGTTACGGCGCTGCTCTGGGTTCCCACCCCTCCTTCTCAATGGAAAAGCACCAGGTTAAAGATGGATTCCAGTTCAGGTGACATGATCACATTTCACTGCAAGACTTCATTACTCACTTGCCAGCACACACACATAGAGGAAGACTTACAGGTAAAACATACCCATCTGCAGACAATGGTCCTGGTTAATGGGAGCCATCAAGATTCCAAACCACCTTTAATGACCCACACTTTGCATAGTTACAATAGGCCCTCAGAGTTATATTTCATATTTCTAGTTTCAGATACAAGAGTGGTACATTTATACATGACCACACTCAGTAGATTATAAGCTTTGTAATGATACCTTACAAGAGACCTTTTGCATGAAGCATATTCCAGTTACATCATATTCACACTCATCAGCATACTTTCATAAAATCATCTAGAGGCAATGTCACAAACTCCCAGAGAAATCAAATGCCAAAAAGCTTGTTGAGTTATTGAAAAAACCAGGGACCGAGACGCCGGCCAGAGCTTTGTCAGTCGGCCGTAGAAAACCAGGGCAATTAATTCCCTAGACTCTGTGAATCATTAGCATAAAACTGGAGAAATGAAATACCCCAAAATCTTGGGAATCGTTAAGACTAGAAATGTAAATGCGTCCCCAAACTGTGCTCATTAGTGTAAAATTAGGGAAAGTAAATGCCATAAACTTTGTGATTTGCCCATGTAAAACTAAGGAAATAAAATATATAAAAAAAAAACGTTGTGAGTTTTCGCTATAAACCGAGCGAAGAGAAATGCCAAAGCGTCATTAATCTAAAACTAGGGAAATGAAATATTCAAAGCCGTTGTGAGCTGTCAGGGTAAATCAAGGTCCGTTAAAGGCCATTAAACGTCGTGGAGGGTTAACAGAAATTAAATAGCGAAGAAACGTGGTGATTCGTTAATATTCAAACGAGGGCAATTAACAACCGAGCAACTGTGTGAAGTGTTTCTATAAAACTGAGGAAGTGCCATGAGTGAGCCCCCTTGATACGATGGGGGAAATTAAATACCCACGAAGCTTTGTGAATCGTTAAGAAAAACCAGCAAGGAAAGGAAATGCCCCCAAACGTGCTGAGTTGTTAACGTGTAATTGCCCTGGTTCTAAGTTAAAAATCTCGGTGTGTGCCCCGAGCCGGCGGGTTCACGGCCCGGCGGGTTCACGGCCCGGCGCTGGCCTGTTCGCCCACCCTGTCGCTTTCTTCCTGCAGGTGCCGAATCGCGCCTCTTCTCCCTGCAACGTCACCTCAGTGGCTGGCACCTGCGGCCCGCCAGGGTCCCCCTGCCGCGAGCACCGCTGGACGGCCAGGCTGCGGATCTGGGATGGGGCTGGCATCCGGTCGGTGCTGGCAGGGGGCGTGGCCATGCCCCACTGGGCCGACGGGGCGGCTGCGACGGCCACCTACTCCTCTGACTGCTGCACCCGGGAGGCGGAGCTTCTGGTGGCCAACCGGCTGGGGGAGGAGTATCGGTGCCTGGTGGCGGCGCCCCCTGCTGGCGCTGCGGGGGACCTGGCCCTCACCCCCTGGTGGTGGGTGGCAGCGTTGGCCGTTCATGTGGCCTTTCGTGTCGGGCTGGGGCATTGATGCTACAGGGCTCCCCCTAGTGGCAGGAGGGGGGAGCCTATGGTACAGCATCCAGTCCTGGCTATGGCACCCTCTAGTGGAGACGGGTGGTACTGCACCCAGCTGGGAGGCTGTTGCTATTGGATGCCCTCTAGTGGAGACGGGTGGTACTGCACCCAGCTGGGAGGCTGTTGCTATTGGATGCCCTCTAGTGGAGACGGGTGGTACTGCACCCAGCTGGGAGGCTCTTGCTATAGGGAGCCCTCTAGTGGGGAACTGCGGTAGAGCATACAGGTTAGCTCTCGTCTACAGCTGCACTGAGGGCTGCTGGGAGAAAAAGGAGTGTAGTGAGAGTGAGTGTGTGTGTGTGTGTGTGTGTGTGTGTGGATTCGGGGTTGATACCATGACACCCCCGGGTGGGGAACCCAGGACCGGGCTGTTTGAGATGCTTTTCTGAGCCGACACCAAAAATACAAATAATTTCCAGCAAAAAAATAATATATTTTTCCCCAGTTTTGCGGGACTAACTTTACGCCCCTGACTCCATTTCCCACCACCAATGCTCTGCTTAACGCATGGTGAGAGCTCCTGGAGGTCGGGTTCTCTCAGTCGCGGTAGCAGGATTTGAACTCAGAAACTCCTGGGTACCCGCCCGTTGGACGTTCTCCTAGGCCAAAGAGCACAGAATGGCCGGGCTGCCTTGTGTTAACATACAGGGCTGAGTGTCAGGACTCCTGGAGTCAATTCCTGCCTCTGCTGGGCAAGTCCCTTTCCTGGTCTATGCCTCAGTTTCCCATGCCACCCCTTGGTCTGTCTAGTGTCTTCACTTCAAGGCCAAAACTATCCAGTGTCTGTACGCAGACGTAGTGCAACAGGGGCCCTGATCTCCGTCAGGAGGGGTGTGTGCAGCACCTGGCGTCCTGGGGGCCCTGATCTTAGTTGGGGAGGGTGGGGTCTGCAGTGCCTGGCATGACGGGGCTGTGATCTCTGTTCTGTCTTTCAATGCTACCCAATGATCGTCCCCAGATGCGTTTTAAATTTAGTCTCCTAATGGTTGGAAGAGTTATGGCTGGTCTGTATATTTTGGCTAATTATTTCCAGTCAGTGAATTGGTTTTGGATTATATTTATTTCCGGGGATTCTGGTATTTCTGGGTTATGATTTTAAATTGGGTTTATTGTTTGGGTGTTTGTGCTAATTTTTTTCTTTTTTTGGTTAAAGATAATACCATTGTTTTTTAAATTAACCTGCTGTTAATAAAGAAAATTGATAAAGCGGCAGAAGAGGTGAGTTTCAATTCTGATTTGTGACACTGGGACACAGAGTCTGTCCCCTCTAGGGGGCGCCACCTCCCATCGGCTCCAGGGCAGGGACTGGGGCACAGGGCCTTTCCCCTCTAGGGGGTGCTGGCTCCCATCCGGCCCCAGTCCAGGGGACTGGCTGGCTCAGTGAAGTGGGGAGTGGGACACTGAATGAAGAAGTGAAGCTTGAATTCTGTCCTTTCCTTTTGAAGTTTATTATAACTTTATTATATTAATTCTAATCAATTTATTTACAGCCATTAGAATAAATATCTTGGAGGCGTCTTCCCCCCACATCCCTTGTCTGAAGTGGGGGTGGATGGGGGCTAACACGGAGGTTAAAGCTCACGCCATGTGTTGTCAAAGGGATGCTGTGGGTAAAGGTAGGTGGTGGAAGGAGAATCCCCATCAGCTTTTAGCTCTAGAGGGCTAATGACACATGTGCAGGTCTGAATCCAGCCACTAGAGGGCACTTAGACATAGACAATGTGTCACACTCCACAGAGGGGTCAGGGAGGGAACCCTGAAAATGCACACAGGTAAAAGTAAGGTTGACAGGTGTGTGTGGGGGGAGAGGGGGAGTCAAAGGGGAAGTGGACGGGGATGCAGGGTGGGGTGGGGATCCCATAGATCTATAGTGAAGGGTCATGCTGGTGCTGATGCAAAGCACTGTGGGTATTCCCCATTGAAAGCCTCTTTGGACAGTCGGTTATTAGCCCTCTTGTTACCCATAATTCTTCACTGTTGTTTTCCCCCTGCTCCCCAGTCTCGGAGACCAGCCTGTCAAAATGGGAAGTGATGTCATCGGGAGGCTCCCAGATGACAGGAAGCCAGGAGTGTGACATCATGGGGTGGTTGTGTCAGGCTGTGTGCGTGTGTCCATGAGAAATGCCGTGACCTCAGAGGGTGGGGCGGGGTTGGAATTGACCATGATGAAACCGCACAGGGGCTGGAGGAAGAAGGGACAGGAAGTGAAGACCTCAGTGACATCATCAGAAAAGGCGAGCAGGAGGAACGGGAGGAAGTGACACCTAAAGGCTCTGAAGTGGAAGTGATGTCAGCAGAGTCTGAAGATGATGTAATACCATCAGGAGAGTGACATCATGGACCAATGACAGGAAGGAGGAAATTACATAATAGGCCAGGAGGAGGAAGTGAGCTAGTTCCTTCCAGGTCCAGCAGGAAATGACTTCATTGTGGATTGGGGGGGTGGGACAGAAGGAAATAACCTCATTGGCCTTGGGAGATCGACAGGAAGTGATATCATTGTGTTGGGTGAAAATTAGGTCTTTTCTCTCAGAAGGGTCTGGCTGGTGTGAGAGAGGAAGTGACCTCGTCAGGTAGGTCTGCAGGAGGAAGTGACCTCGTCAGGTAGGTCTGCAGGAGGAAGTGACCTCGTCCATCAGATGAAGGTGGACTCCTTGTGGCTGGACAGCCGGTAGCCCCGGCTCTCCTGGAGTTGCCTGCACAGGGCCGCCTTCTCCTGCTCCAGCTGGGCGATGCGGTCGCTCTTCTCCGACACCTCCTGCCGCCGAGAGGACAGCGGTCATGCTCGGGTGGCCACATTGGCCCGGCCCCCCAGCTGCCCCCTGGATGGGAAGGGGGAAGCACGGACTCCTCGGACAGCCAGCAGGTGGCGCTAACCTCCCAGCCACCTTGAGCCCACTGACCCAGCCCAACCCAGGGAAGATGTCTCAGGCGGCCATTTTGTTGTGCTGCCCGTCACTTATCCCTGCCACTAGTCGACAGCCCTGGCTTTTTGGGTGGCCATCTTGGGCCTTCACCCAATCTATCAAGGAAGACCGATCTGGTGGCCGTTTGGTGGCACTGCTTCTTCCCCAGGCAGCCAACTTGGGGCGCTACCTCCTTGCCTCACCTCCTGGCTGCCTGGCAATGAAGATGTATGAGGCGGCCATCTTGAACCCACTGTCAAAACATGGCAGCGAAGAGCTCTCCATTCATTGCCCTACCCCCCCGCCCAACCTCACTTCTAGGCACCTTAGGTCGCCATCTTGAATCCGGGCCTCAAACCCAACCTTGCCACAAGGCAGAGTTGGGTGCGGTTGGCCATCTTGAATCTCACCCCTTGCCACTCTAGGAATAGAACAATCAGGTGGCCATCTTGTTATGCGACTTCTCAGCCAACCGAGCCACCAGGGCGCAGGGCAGAGACCCCGAGAGAGTTGGCCATCTTGACCAATTGCCGCACCCTGAGGGAGGCAGGGTGGACTTTGCAGAGTCGGCCATCTTGAACCCGTCTCTGCCGCCCTTTTCCGAGTCCCAAATTCCCCCTCCTGGGCCCATGGCCGCCTCCATACCTTGATGAGCAGGCGGTTCTGCTCCTTCAGCACGTTCACGGCTTGCTGCTGAAATTCCTGCTGCTTTCCCATTTGGAAGAGGGGGCCCCCAAACCGGCTGGAGGGGAAGCAGGGTGGGGGGTCAGCCTGGGTGGGGGGGAAGAACAGATCAGTGGAGTCCCTTTTCATACTCGCCAAGAGAGTGCCTAGCTCCCCATTCCTCCCCCCCGCCGGTGCCCCTCACTCCCGACCCGCAGCCCCTGCTAGCCCCCCCCACCCCCCACTGACCTTTCCAGGGCTGGCCAGTAGGTTTCGCAGCCCGAGATTCACCTCCTGGATCTTGGCCAGCAGGAGGCAGCTCTGATTGGGGCACGAATCCGGGAAATAATCCTGGGGGACGGGGAGAAGAAATAGTCAATGGGGAAAATTCCTGCCGCGAGCGTGCACGTCACCTGCCGGACTCCTGGGTCCCCTGTACCCACCCTGGGCAGCTTGGGCTGATCCACTGCATCCCATATCACAGTTCACCCCTCCGTCATGGGAACAATGGAATGATCCATTTCACTCCCCCCCCCCTCAACACTAAACAATGGAATGATCCATCCACACTAAATAGTTATGGAATGAGCCAATATCCTCCATCCAACAGTAACAATGGATTGTTCCTCCCCTTCATCCCGCTAATAATATGAATGGAATGACCCATTGCCTCCTCCCAATAATACTGTGGCCCCATCTGTCCTGCAGCGATTACAATGGATCGGTCCATTTCGCCTTCATGAGACAGTGACAATGGATCAGTCCATTCACCCCCTAATGACAACAATGGACTGATCCACCCCACCTACTTTTTATAACAGAACAACCCACCCCTCTTAGGGTTGCCAACTCGCTAGTCACACACAACCGAACACCCTAGCCCCGCCCCTTCCCAAAGCCCCGCCCCCACCCATTCCCCCTCCCTCGGTGGCTCGCTCTCCCCCACCCTCACTCACTTTCACTGGGCTGGGGCAGGAGGTAGGGGTGCAGGAGGGGGTGAGGGCTCTGGAGTCAGGATGGAGATGAGGGTTTTGGGGTGCAGGAGGGGGCTCCAGGCAGGAGGGTGGCGCTGAGGGATTTGGAGTGGGGAAGGGGGCTGCGGGTTGAGGCAGGGGGTTGCGGTGCCAGAGGGGGTGAGGGGTTCAGGGGGTGGGAGGGAGCTCGGGGCAGGGGTTTACCTCGGGCGGCTCCTGGTCAGTGGGGCAATGGGGTGGGGGGAGATAAGGCAGGGTCCCAGCCTCTCCCAGCCCCTCTGATTGCGCTGTGCGCACCCTGGAAGCAGCCAGCAGGTCCGGGTCCCAGGTGCGGGGGCCAGGAGGCTCCACACGCCAGTCTCGCTTGCAGGCACCGCCCCCACAGCTCCCACTGGCCATGGTTCCCGGCCAATGGGAGTGCATAGCCGGTGCCGCGCGTGGAGCCCCGTGGCCCCCCTGCCTAGGAGCCGGACCTGCTGGCTGCTTCTGGGGCGCAGCGCGGAGCCAGGACAGGCAGGGACTAGCCTGCCTTAGCCCTGCAGCACCCCCGACCAGACTTTTAACGGCCCAGTCGGCGGTGCTGACCGGAGCCCCCAGGGTCCCTTTTCCACCGGGTATTCCAGTCGAAAACCGGACACCTGGTAACCCTCACCCCTCTGTACAGTAATAATGAAATCATCTCTTCTCTGCACACACCCCATTAAATACAATGGACCGCTCCATCCCCCCCATTATTAATAATGGACCAAACCGCTCCCTTCACACTTTACACAATGGACTGTGCTCTGCCCCCTCCCTCCCCCAGTAACAAGAGCCTGCTCCATTACCACCCTATTCATACCAATGGCCCAATCTATTCCCCCCATAATCCTAAAGGACTGATCCTTCCACCCCCCAAGGGACTGATCCATCCCCATTCTAATCACAATGGTTTGATCCACCCCAAAGATCCATCCATCCCCATCTCCTAATTAATACTAACAGATCAATCCAATCCCCCTCACAGTAACAATGGATTGATCCGTCTCTCCTTCCAATAAAAATGGTTGATCCATGTTTCCCTGGCTAACAATGGATTTACCCACCCCCCTTAGAAACAATGGACTGATCTATTGCCCACCCCTCAATTAAAAACACAAACCACCCCCCATTGTGACAATGGACCGATCTGGTCCCTCCCATCCTCCCCCAAAGACAATGACCTGACCCATTCCCCCCCCGCGCCGTTAGGGGGCGATGGTACGTACCGGCTCCGCCCCCGCCTGCTCCTGCCTGCGCTGGGCCTCCAGCAGGTGGCGCCGGTACCAGCCCCGCAGGCGTTCGGCCAGTTCCAGCCCCTGCAGCAGCGCGTCCCGCTCCCGCTCCCGCGCCTGCCTGCGCTGCAGCTGGGGGGAGACGGGGGTCAGCGTGGGGCGGGGAGCCCGGACGCCTGGGTTCTCTCCCCGGCTCGGGGAACGGGGGCGGGTCTGGGAACCCGGATGCCTGGGTTCCCTCCCCA